GCAGGAACTTCTCATCAGTCTCACCATCTTCTGTAATAATTTAAGGTCATTATAAATTTATACAAAGGGTTCTTCGGGTAGGCTTACAAATTTGGTTGTATTTTTTCGAAGGGTTGTATAAATATGTAGTGTACTTAGCTCGACATAATTGCGAAATCGCAATTATGTCGCAAATAGTTCGCATTCGGTCACCAAGTATACCGGGCGTTCTCATCAATCAATCATATATACTATTATATTATTATCAATTTATATCATTTTACTAAGTGTACGAGCGACCAAGTTCCCATACATGTAGAATCTAAGAATCCATTCTGGTTTTAAGATAAACATATTTTTAATTTTAGGCACATTCCATATATTTTGTATTGATAACAAGATACTAAGAATAATTCAATTAAAATATTATTAATACCAAAACTAGGTCCGGACCAGCCGTACATGTTGCTAGGTTTGGTTTGTTGCTTCTCCAAGTTACCGAGCAGTTGTGCTTCTATCAGCTGAAAGTCAGCCTGCTTCATCGGCTTGCATTGCATGTTAATATTGCTAGGTCGGACTGGAATATTACTGGACACAGGAAAGAAATCTTAGATTAGATATAGAATAATATATTTATATAGATGAGCAGAATTCGAACCTGTAGCCTTGAGCTTATGGAGTTACAGTTATTTTACCAACTAAGCTACTGTGCTTATAATATAATTGCAATCATACTTATGTTGATGAATTTTTTATGCCATAGTTAATAATTTTTATTTAAGTACTACATTTAATGCTAATATATGAAAAATATTCTTTACAACAGTTGTATTAAAACAGAATATATGTATTCAAATTTTTGAACATAAAATCTATGAGTCATACTAATAAATTTTGCTCACCTCGTATCTTCAAGATGCGGTTGATTCAAAGCATCAATGAGATCTATAATTGTATGCAACTGCCTCGGTGTTATGAATATTAAGAATGACCCTAATAGAATTTTCACCTCGACCTTTGGCCCTTCGACTTCCTCTGAATGCTTAAGTTTGAGGGCTAATTCCTGCTGGCCAGTTAATTTTGCAAATAGTATTGGATCTGCTTGAGTGGTTCTGTCTGGTGGAGTTGATTCTCTTGTACTTCCAATATGTCTTTCTTCTATTATCTCTTTAATGGGATCCGAATCTATAGTAGACATGACACTCCTCGTTTCATAGAATACATCAGACATTGTGCTCTGGTAATTTGAATTAGGCGTGTCGATTGATGCTCCGTCGGATTTGTCTACAGACGATGCGGATTTTTCCATGAGACTTGGGGCCATTGTACGCAGTTTCGATGGGAACTCATCTATGTAGAACACGACGCCATTGAATTTTATTTTTTTGTTTGTGTAGGTTGAGACGATGTAGGTTTTGGTTTTATCTGGATCCGTCGTTTCCGGTAATGGTTCCGTTCCAGCTTCGTCGAAATAGTCGATACTAAAAATATAATAACAATTACATAGCATTGGTACTTTATTATTGGTGTATCAAGGATAGAATGAACTTGCATGAATAATTTCTTTCATAGTACAAATAAAGCAAATAAAATATTATATTTAAATTATTAATGAGTATGAAAACTTTCACAAAATATTTCCATTTTAATGCCAAATGATGACTTACAGCTATTTAAATAATATTCAATTTATGTATTTGCATTACACTTTTAAGTGTATGGAATTAATTTAAAATAATTAATGAAATAAAAACAATGGTCTTCTTAAAATAACTAAGGTTTCTAGATTGTTTTATATTTTAATATTATTCAATATAAAATATATTCTTTCTAATATTTAACATTAGCTTACTTGTCAATATGGACCTCCAGTGCGATGCCCTTGTCACCATTTTTGGGGACATGTTCTATTCTAATTTTTGTATTTACGAATTTTACTTTCACTCTGCTCAAAACTGTAAGAAATATTTTATGTTATATATGATTATTTTAATTAAGTTTATAAACAATGCTTTTATGTAAATAATATGCTAAACATATTTTCAAAGAGTATTATTTTAACTGTAAGGAATTTAAAGTATATTTTAATTAAAGGAATTTTTCACTTCTAGACTATAATTCAGTTCTTTCCTACAGAACCTAAATGTTTATTTAATAATTTAAGATTATCATTTGTAATGACACCAAATGTTACTGAGATTAATTGAGAAATTCTGTCATTTTTAAGTATCAAAATTCCTTGTAGATAATAAAATACTAGCTAACTTCTTTATGGTTTTTAAACCTTATTTTGTGACTTTCATATTTTTTATTTATACATAATACCTATAAATAGTGCACTATGTCGATCAAATATACAACATAGATGCATTATAAAATATATATCATCAGTAACTGACACAGTTGAACAAATATATCTACAAACATATCAACATTTTCATTTATATATTTATATAAGTAGGTAACATTTGTTTTTAAACTCACTTGAATCTATAGCATGTGCAAACATCTCAATTCCTTCAACGGGGTTTGATTCCTGTGGCCCAGCCTCTTCCCGAAGACATTCTGCCGCCAGTTGCATTGACGATGACATTGAAGACCACATGGACTCCAACATTGATGATGCTTTTAAAAGGATTATATTAATATATAATGATAAAAACAAATATACAGTTGAATATAAAATTACAACTAGCTAGACATAGTTCATAATAATAATGAAGTAAATGAAAATTTATAGCCATATTAAATTGTAATGTATATTTAATTACTTTCTTTTATACAATATGAATATTTCTTACCAGGCTCAGGCCTAACTTTAGGTTGGACTGTAAGTGAAAGTCCGTTAATTTCCACAACAGAATCATCTTTGAGAAGCGTAGACCAGGGTACTGTGACTGTTATTTCTTTCATTTGACCATCAACTATTTCCAATGGCCAATTTTGACTGTCCCCCAACTCATTGAGGGCCTTGAATTATTGTTAGAGGACTGTTTATTCTCAGTTCAAATTGCAAATACCAACTTCAATATAGTGTGGTATTAATAAAAGTGTGTACATATTGTAAGACATATTTAATAAAAATATAAATATAATGTTTAATAAATTGTGTGGCTATTCAAGAAAAAAAGATATTCCTAAATAATTTAATAAATTAAAATCTGTGCTCTGAATATGACTTAGAAATATGTTTTATAAGGAAATTTATTCATGATTCCTTTGTTATATTCGTAACACGTGTTGTTTTAATAAAGATCAAACGCATTTTTTATTGGCAAGGACGTTTCGGACGCATACATATTAAATATATTATCAAGCCTAACAGTACTACAACCATCTTGATAAACTTATATATTCAAATATTAAAATAAAATTGATTACCTCGCAGTCAAGGCTAACATCTGAAACGGTACCAGTCCCATTGTAAAGATCGACACTCAGCTGATCCAAAGTAAGTTTTTCTTCAAGATAATTTCCAAGGTACCGTTGAAGTAAATATCGGCAGGCTCTTTTTTTTATGCTTTCGGACCATGGTAGATACCACAACATCTTTAAAAGTCTACGATCATTACACTATAAATTTTTGCTTTTGTGCGTAATGACTATTGTGATTTGCGTGTGATTGACTTGAGCACGTAAATAAACATAACGTTTACGTTCCTTTTTACAATCACTTCAAAACTACTATTGACAGATACAAAATGATCATAGAGTAATACAATGTTATAGGTAATAATTATACAGTGATGACATTTAGAATTTGGTTCTATTGCTAATCTATGTTATGTCTATTTATTTCTATATAATAATTGTAATATATTGTATAACTAATACTTCTATAAATATTGAATATGATATATAGAGCTACAAAATAAAACTTAATTGTGTAAATTAAAACATTTTTATTTATGAAAGTACAAAATTTATATGACGTACTTTAGTTGAAAAGAAAAAAGTAAATAAAAGTATTTATATAACCAGTATTGAAACATAATTGTATAATCATTTTTAATTATTCAAATAAAATTTTCTCTTCTTTGTATAAAATAATAAGCTATCTTCGTTTTTGGGATCTACATTAAAATGTCGATCACATGTATACATTGCCAAGCTATAAAATATGGGACCCATATTATCTGCAAAAAATAAAGTTGCGGAAAATTCCAAGGAGCCTATACCATTGTCAGAAAACCCTAAACAGTCTGTATTATTAATAATAAGCTTAATAACCACACTTGAGATTTTATACTCTCCTGGAATATATGAAAAAAAATAATTAGTTATTTTTCAATGATAGACTTATATTTAATTTTGACTTATATTATAGTCTCACTAACATTACCTTTGTAGTAAATGTCCATAACTCTATTCATTCTTACCGTCGGCCAAGCCTTGGTTTCAGAGAAGATAGTATTTTCTAAAAATAAAAGATAGTAATAATTTAAATTAAAACTAAACAAAATAATAATTTGAAAATTTTAGCTACCTTGACATGATCCTAGAGTCATAGCAACTTTATAATAAGGTATACCGATAGCTTCGATTGTTCTTATAAACTTGATTTCACCAGAATAATGAATTCCATTTACTATTATTAAAATAAAACATAAAACTAGAGACATTTTACAAAGAACAAATTACGTTGACTATTTATTCACGTCTGAAGGATTAAGAAATTATAAAGCATATGTCGTTTTTAGAATATTACTTGAATGTTTCACTTAAGGTAGTCTTAGAAGTATGAAATTTCCTATTGTCTATTGTTTAACAAACTGTCAGTAAACACGGCTTAACATGTATGTATATGGTTAGGTAGGTATAAGTATATCTTTTAAAGAAAATATCGGTTTCAATAAAAACTGACTATCCAAATCATTCTACTTGCAAAAAAATATTATACATTTTTCTTCGCTAAAATCTTATAGAAAATCTTTTTTTTATCTCAGTGAAAAAAGGCAAAGGTAATGAAAGATAATGAATAAGGTTTGAATTTATTAAATTCAGTATTTGAATATTTTTTATTAGTATAGTGAGAGTACGTAACGCGCTCCAGCAGCTATTCCTGCGAAAGATTCGGTCACTATTTGCTTGATGTAAGTGGGTGGGACAAGGAAGCCGTATTCATAACCAGGAAGTTCCATAGTATAGGTGAATGGTATTCCCAGACCACGTGTCCAGTCTCTCGAGGTACCACTGGTGTAGTACAGAACGTTAGCAGCATTACCGACAATGTAAGAATCAGCTTTTTCCAATTTGACTTCCTCAATAGCTGTTGCCATTATGATACCGGCAAGGTGAAGAGCTAGGCCGTTTGAAGGAAGTGTACCTAAACAGATATTTGGAACGTATTATTATGGGTACATATCACAATTGTTTTACAAAGTTAGGTCTTTAAATTAACAATACCCACCGTTAGTTCCCCAAGCGTAAAGCAACATGTTGCCATAGCTGTGTAGAGAAATGTAAAGCGAAGTGCGTTCCAAATTTGACATAACAGCATCTCTTATGATGCGTGTCTCTGGTTCGGAGAAAGGTGATGGTCCTTCGTAAATAATTGAGCAGGCTACGCTAGAATCGGGTCTGGAGCCCCAGTAGAAATCGAAGTTGCGGTTTCCGTCAACACCAGGGCATGCGTCTGAGCCAGCGTGAGATTTGGAACGGGTTTTACGCCAAAGACGATCCTAAAAGTATGTGAATAATTGAGCATAATGTTAATAATAAAAAAATAACTGAGCATAATGTGTCGTCTAAAAGTTAAATAGAAAGTAGGTGATGGCAGCTTATGTTAAAAATATTAAATGGAATTAAAGAGAAACGTTAAGAAGTCAATAACTTATTTTCGTTGTAGGTAATTGTGGTTGTATGCAGTTTAGTTTTATCTACTCATATTTATCAACTAATTTGTTTATTATGAAGTAGATATGGATCTCAAATAAAAAGTCACGTAGTAAATGAGCAATTTTGATAATCTTTGAAGGTAATGTTAAGTTTTACCTCATTTATGGAGTATTCGTAACCATCTGGGTTCGCTAAAGGTATAATGATCCAGTCTAGATTTTCAGTCAGTAATTTATCAGCGCCTTCGGCCAATTGCTTGATCAAATACAGAGCGACTGGTGTTGTAACCCATTCCCTAGCATGAACACCAGCATCTATAACTACCACTCTTTTGCGAAGGTTTTCAAAGCGTGTGGTGGAAATCCTGACATATTTGATCTGTCGTCCTTCGTAACTCCTGCCAGCATTGATAACTGTTACAAGGTCAGGGTATTTTTCGCCCATCTCGTCTATGTATTTGTTAATCTGAAAAGAAAAATGACTTATAAACCAAGCTACAATTACTAATACATATTTTAAAGAACTAATTATACCTCTTCCGCATTATAATAATTATCCCATGTCATTGTACTGTTTGAGTCTTCAGCTTCGCCTTCTTCAGACCTCAGTAAATAAGAATCTTCAGCACGAAGAACCCTTAAATATAAGATAATTTTGAAGAAACATTTTAAAATAACAATATTTTAGAGTTATTGATTCAAGCTATTGCTTACTGTGCCAAGTTGTTTGATACTAAAGAGTAGGGCATGTCATGGTCTTCGAAGTATTTCAGCCATTTGCCTTTTTCCTCTGAAGATAGTCTCATCAAGACCTCTAGCTGTCTTGAAGTGGATTTGGCTGCTGGTGTGACGGAGAGGAAATCTATGTAGGCTTCTAAGTATTGAAATTGCTCTGATGGACCAGCTACCCGGTAGAGGGAGTGCCTGTGAATTTGGCAATTAAGACAGAATTAAATCACTTTCACAAGAGTAAAAACATTCTCATAGAATTTCTGAAATTACCCCTCGTATTGCTCATGTCGAGCGTGGGCAACTGCAACGAATAGCAGGAAGGTAATCCACCTTAACATTTTGACAACTAACCGGCTAATAATTCGGACTTGACTTAGTTCCCTTAATATATTAAATAGTAATTTCCCTTATCAATTGTTTATCTAAATCGGCTGTAAAATGCTTATTTTGGTAGGAATCATAATTACATTTTATAGCTCCGTATGTGGTGACATCTTTGGACTTTAATTCTTTAATATCATTTACAAAATAATATTAAACCATATAAAGATATAATAATTTAAGATATACCAATTATCATTTATATTATGCAGAGGCTTCTAGAAAGATATTAAACACTTGTTTGACTTCATTGATAATGTTGGATAAATTTTATTTATTGTAGGCAATTAATTGATTACATATTTTTTAGCTATTTAAAGGACTTGATAAATATATTTTAAAAGAAAAACAAATCTTGCAAGCAGATATACATTTATATTTATAATTAATTCTAGTTAAATACAAAACTATTGCATATAAATAAATGTTAGTGTTAATTATATAAAACAAGGCAGTTTATATGTCTTTAAATTCATTTCATAGTAGACTTTTGAAAAAACTTCCAGATATATCTGCGGAAATGTATTTTTATGTATCTCTGAAAGCCTCTGTGCCACCAAGCGTATATCATAGGATTAAGGATGCTATTCAGGAACGCTAAAGTAGCTATTGGTCCACTCAGCATCATTCTGAGATGCATGCACTTGGGATTAGTGAGTTTCTCTTCGCAGAAAACAAAAAATATGACTGTTATGAAAAACGGCATCCAAGTAAATATAAAGCTTCCTGATGTTAACATCACAATTATGATCGCTCTCCACTTATTTGGTTCCTTTACTTTTTGTATTTTTCGTTTTATTGCATCAGTTTTTTTGATACGCGCCTCATCCGATGTTGTTACGTGAATATTTGGCTCCGTTATCCTTGAACTGATGGAATAAATGCTAAAATCTGATTCACAACTATTTCTATTGTTCTGATTATCAATTGAGGAAACGCTTGTTTGAAAATCATTACTTTCGTTTAAATTCTCTGTACTTTTAGATTTTTCATCAATCTTGAAGATTTCTGATCGCGGTCTATTATAGTTGTAATTTTCATTGAAAGAAGCTGTTCTTTGGATTTTTGATTTATTAGATGTCGGGTATTTCACTGATTGAGCATATTTCCCTGAAATTCTATCACCTCCCATGTGGATTCTTAGTTCATTGTTGTTTGATTTCACGCCCACGTTTTTTATAGTTGTTTTGATCTCTCTTACATTTTTCAGAGCTCGTATTAAAATAATAGTATACAGGACGGCTACAAGTACAATGGGGATAATGCTTAGTAGCGAATTAAGTAGGATCAGAGACCCAGGAAAAAGGGTAACGTAATAGCACCTCGAGTGCCTCAGTTCGGTATTTATCCATCCGCTCGCTGGGATAAATGAGAGAGTTATACCTGAAACAAATACGAGTATAATTATATTAAGTACTTATTTGCTTTTAAAAATGTGTTAAAAGTAGCGATGTTGGCGTAAGGACAAAATAATAAGGCACAAAACAGTATGTTCATTTCTCATTCAAGCTACGTTAATAAAACGATGGTTTAATAATTATAAACTGTTAACTCTCCGTACGTAGTATGTATTTTAGACTAAGCGTACCTACTTACATGTTCAGTATAACGGAGCATATAGGATAGCCTAACTAACATATATGCTCAGTCTAATTCAATGAAGTATACAATCAAATTTTATTATTACTTACCAATCATCCAAATACAGAGAATGCTAATTCTGACCCTCGTTGTCGTAAACCATTTCTGGTAATACAAGCCGTGGAGTATATAAATGTAGCGATCTACGGCTATGAAACCAACTGTGAATATGGAAACCATGGCTGGACATACGATCATTCCTGTTGAGTTTTTTAATATTTTTATAAATAGGAAAACAAATTAATGTAACATTTTTAAATTCTTATATTTCATTTACATTAAACGACTTTAATTCAAGATCCTACTGATATTTTAGTTTCTAATTTTCTTTTTTTCTTATAATAAGAGTACCTAAATGAATTTTGCTGGATTCTTGATACATACTTATTACTTATATTTACTTTGATTTTGTTTAGTGTTTACACAGTCCTTACGAAACTTAGATATATTTTTAGAATTAACACCATTGAAGGTAAAGCAAATATTTGTTATTATTACCGATTTGAAATATACAGAGTGGATTACAGCTCATGGGGTTTTCTATAGTAACTCCGAACATGATTGATACACCTATGATCATATCAGCCAGAGACACATTTCCCAGCAAGAGGTAGGTGCTTTTACGTTGATTGTCTGAAAAATAAGTCATTTTATTGATAATGTTTTAGGAATAAATAAGAAAATGTCCTAAAAACAAGATATATATGAAGTCTGTTGAAATAATACGTAGTTTTATAGAGAGTAATGTTATCCAAGTATATAAATTTGAAAGTTACTATGTCCGCTGGGTACAAGGGAGCTATGAGCAAAATAAATATATGCATTCCAACTCAAGCCCTCCTTTTCCAAAATATGTTGGCATAACGAATGATTATTTTACAGTTACTTCTAAAAAGAATGTTGTGTTATTTTAAAGAATATTTTAAAACGTTTTTGTTATTAAGGTAATAATGGCGGCAGCTATTAGCACCTCGGAGCGCTAATCGTTACCTTATCCATGACATGCATATTGATATATTGACATATAGCGGAAGTAAATTTATATATTATATTTGAATAAGATTTATAGTATTGTATGTCATGAGATTATCCTTTTCATTATTAAAATTAAATAAATCAAGAATATAAATTACCTTTCTTTAAGATCAATCCACTGGATATGACGACTGTTATATTACTCAAAAATATAAGAGCACCAAATATATACGCAATAATTTTATAAACGAGAAATTGTTCGGTCTCTCTTGCTTTAAACACTTCGTACAAATCGTCTTTAAAGGTAACATTTTCACTCATACTTCCATTGAAATAAATATTCATATTGATTTATACTTTAAACACATAGCTACAATAATTTTTATATGAAATACCGTTAAAATACTTATCTAAAAACAAGACGCCATATTGATTTATTGTTAAAACACATAACTATGATTCCACGATGTTTGGTTTGCAAAAAACTTTTCTGTTTACACATTTCAATGAAGCGGTTTCTCTGTACGAAATGAGATGAAGGAAAATAATATTTAAACTGACTGGTTGAGTTTTGTTTATTGTAATAAGAATTTACGATTTATGGTTCCTCTGGTGTATTTGAGAATCTGGTGTTTAATTGGGTACTTAAAATTTATATGGACGCTACGTTAAAATACTAATGCCAACTTATATTGAGTACGTAATATGTATTTTTGTAATATTAAAATAAATACATAGTTATATATAATTCTGTGACTATTTAAAATTGTATATTTATTATGTTTTAAGCTTTCAGTCATTTATAATGTTATACGAGAAATAAATGAGGAATAATTCAAAAAGTCACTTAAAGTAGTGGGAAAATAAGTACTGTTCATAGAATACATTTGGTACCTAATAACAAATAAGATCACAGAAACAGTGTAAAAAATATCAGTATACGTATACAACAAAAAGTTTTTATTTCTCACAGATTATATTGGTTTGGTGTTTACGAGTTAAAACATAAACTTATTTGTTAGAAACACCTAGGGATAGTCTCAGCGGTATGACCTAAATAATAAGTAAAAAAGTTATAATCAAGTAGGTATGGACTTCATACAATAAGGAACCCAAACTTAAATATATTGGAATTGTTTTTATTTCAGCTTTTGTATGGTATGTCGTAATACAAATCTTTTAAATTGTATACCAATCACTTCAATGCCTTTTATCGAGAAGGCGAAATCAAATGTCCATCTTTGCCTCGGTAGAATTCAGTTCCAATTATCTAATAAATTACGGTTTACATCCTAAACTATTTCACCTCTCAGAGATTTAAAGAGTCTAGACTAAGCAATGATTGTAAAATGTCTAGCATTTACTCAGATATCAGCTTGTATAAAAATCAAGGCTTTAATAGCTATCTGGTCTAATAGATACAGAATTGTCGAGTTATAGAAACTGATAACCAACTCCAATAACGACTTGGAGTATCTAGAACAATAAAACTTATACCTAAGTGTTAGATAAGAAAATAATATATTTGTAATATAAACTTTCAACCAGAGCAAATGTAATATCACATCGGCAAAGTTTGGCATAACAGCAATTGCGAGTCGTAAAATACGAGAATGTTGGATGTCGGTTGGTTGTTTATAATTAAGACTAAATAAATAAAGAATAAATGAAAAAAAATTTTTTAACTGAAACAAAATACCTTCTACCAAAATTATTATGTACGGAACTTTATTAAGTTTATATCCTAAGTTTTTTTTTTGTCAACCAGTTTCTTGCAGATAAATTGATGTAAGTAACTAGCGTTGTTTGAATTTTAAATAGCTTTATCAAACGTATGAAATGAGTAGGTACGCTATATATTAAATTTATATATAAGGAAAAGCAATTCATATGATGATTTTATTATAATCTTCAATACTTAGGACAACATATTTTTTATAACCATGTACTTTACAATGTTTTTTTATTAGAATATATGGACTTGTTTCTATGCTTGATATTTGTAGGTATACCTTTATATACCTTTAAGGTATATCTTTATATACCTTTTATTCACACAATGTGAGTTTAAGAAAAGTTCCTCGCCACGCATGGCTAAATCCAATGGCAAAGTATTTATATAAACAACTTAATTACAACTTTTACAAAACGCGAGTGAGTTCACCGAAGCGCGAAAGTGGCATCGTACTTCCGTTAACCACACCCTAATCCTCAGTTGTACAGATCTCAGAATGTATGTAGGTATGTTAATTTTTGGGACTCAAAACAATATCAGTAAGCATAAGACGTATTTAGAAATGATAAGATTAGTATTGTTTTATGACTCAAGATCAGTATAAGCTTCACATCGCTTCATTTTCTATCGGATGTGAGGTTAGTAATAATTTCTTCCTTCCTTACTCATCTAATCACAACTTATAAGTAAACTTAAGTAAATGGTGAAATTAGTAAACTTGAATTGAACAAAAAGTTCATAACAATCTACTGATTATATATCAATAATAATAAACTTTATATCCATTTTATAGTCCTTTAAAAAATACAAAGTATAACAAGAAGATGTTCAAAATAAAAATAATAATTTAAAAGAGTATTTATAATAACTTGGTTTCAAAGATTTCTATGGTTTATTTTCGAATCCTGTTCCATTTTTCAAGCTAAAATAATTTGATAATGTAATAATAATAAAGATTCTTAAAAACTGTAGAATGGAACGTTCAGATTACGTTTCGTTATAAGCAAACTTTATCAGTCTTCTTATTACAGTAGGTACCATTTCACTATACAAAACAAAAGAAAGTAAAAATGATTTGTTACTGTTTTTACACCATTATGTTAAATTTCGTAGCTTAGTTTGAATATATAACATATAATATTCTCATAAATCTTTCTTAGTTTCTACTGCCTTCAATCTTAATGTCATGTGTCAACATTCACCAGTCAATCTTTGTCAAGTGTCATTACTTAAGTCTTAGAAGTTATAAATTGTATTAAATAATATAAAGATTCATTAATAATTGAAAGAGATTTGCCGTTATTATTCTTCATAGATTAATAGATTCATAAAATGTTAAGTCTAAATATGTTGAAACAATTTTCACGGTAAATTTGTAAGGTTACATTATTTTCTCGACCGTGAATGAAAAATACTTATTATATATTATATTTATTTCAGCTTAGCAATAACTTCGGCTGCTAAAGCACCAATTAATGCCAGAAATATTAATACTTCTGCAGTTGTTCAGTTCAGGATAACTGACCAATTATGGTGAGATAATATGAAGATAGATTGATTTAAAACTGATCTAAGTGGCTTGAGTATACAATTCTGTTTTTAATTTTAGGGCAGAACCTATGAAAAAGAAGAAGAAAATGGATCCGGCCATAATAAAAGCGCGTGAAGACAGACGTCGTAAAAAGTTAGAGAAAAATATTAGAAGGCTAGAAAAAAATGCCAGACAGTTAAAACCAATTGATGAGTTAGAACCTCCTCTACATCTTACCGACTCTCTAGGGTATGTAAAATGAAAGTGTTTATTAAAAAAATTCATTCTTTAATATTTAACCATTAACATGTACTTCCACTGTAAATTCATTTCGAAAATATTAATCTTGTTGCTAAATGCATTGCCATAACATTATGTATAATAATAAAAATATCTAATTTTATAGAAAACGTAAAAGAAAAGTACAAGTTACTCCTGAGCAACAAGAGGCGAGAGATGTTTTGCTTAAAGAATGGACCCGTTACAAGAAACAGGAGTACATGGCTAATGTTGCCCAGATTGATAGAATCATGGCTTCACAAAGACGAGCACTGGACAAGTTGTATGAAGAGAGTGAAGATTTATATAATGAAGCAATTATGGTGATTAGTTATATATTTTTCAGTCCATCTTTTTGATTTTCCTATAATATTTAATATTAAAAGGTATATACTGTATACAATCCTATGTCGGGTATGATTCCATATTATTACTTGTAAGTACATATTTAATTCCTAATTCCTTCAAACAGTTCCTATATTAATTGGAATTAAAACTTTGCAAATTTTATCTGAATAAGTTTAATGAAAACTTTTTTCTTTTATGGGTATAATTGACAGCAAAATTTTTCAAGAAGAAAGTTTAATCTGGAATATTTTCTAAATTAACATCTTTTAAAGTATATTTTCACAATTAGTGATAAATTATACACTAAATAACTACTATCCTCAACAATATGTCATACAGTATTAAGTGATTTTTAATTATTAATTTATTATTATGATATCTTTACAGCCTGATCTGAGTTTGGTGCCATATTCCATCTCGGGACCTTATGCATCACCACCCATAAAGAATTATGAGTCACCCGACGGTGAATACACAGATATATCCAAGAATTGGGGAAATTAGATAATGCCATGTGAAATAAATTTTTAAAATAGAATGTAGTGTGTGCATGTTAATTGCTAGAGTGTTACATTATTGTCACTAGTAGGTATAAATAAAATTTATATTTGTGTAAATTTTTTAACAATAAAATCTGTTAATTTTCCCTTGTTTACCTCATTTTTTAATAGAATTATGAAATCTTCATAATTTTTAAATGTAAATTAAATTATATCGACTCAAAATCATTCTTCAATCAATCAATATTATTTAAAATTAGCTAGTTTGTTAATCTTTCTTAAGTTTTTTCTTATTAAAATTTCTACTGCATTTACTCTTAAATTCTATATTATTTTCTGATTCAGTATGTACTTGAGATTGTTTAGTTTATAAATTATATTCTTTTATCACTTGAAGTCAGAAAAGTAATATATAGTATAAGTGTTGTTAAAATATTTTTGTAATCGAGCCCTAAATTCCAAGAATTAAACAACACTTATATTTCACTTTAGTTGTCTTCAAATTGTCATTGAATAAATACGCAAAATAAATATAAGTCACAGATATTTCGTCAATGACATAGGTTTTAAAATAAAAAGGTTTAACACAATAACAAATTATTTATATGTATATGACAAAAAGCGCCACCTAGAATGCCACCTTAATACAAGGCTTAACATTAATAAAAATATACTTTGGACAGTCGTAATATATGTTGTTATACATTTATTATTCTTTAAAATGCTGAAAAGTAAAGTAACTTTAAACTTTAGTAAAGTAGAGAAGTCCAAGAATTATTGAATAATAATACAACAAAAATTAACACTTAAAATACCTTTATTGGTATTGATTACCAAGAAACCTACAACGATGCAGGGTAGATACTAAGGTCCTAAAAATACATCGAATCTACATAGGTACGTAGGGCAATGTGAGAAGATTATACCGTGAAGAATTTGTAAGAAATCTGATGAAGCAAAAATTTACAAAACAGGTTTTATTTGTTATTATCAAGCTGTCACATAGAACCAGCATATTATAACATTAAATGCAAAAGTAATAAATTGTAGTTCAAATTCCTGGGCCTTCATGCGTATTGTTTTTGTCACCTTAAAGAAAGCAAATAAAACAATATTGACTTAAATGTAAGCTATCTTTCACCTGGTGATATCATTTGCGTCAAGTTGCTATATTACGATATATTTTTACACCTTTCTTTTAAAAGTAAATGGATTTAGACATTGGATCAGAAACTACTCATACACAACCAAATATCAATCCCAAAGAGTTTAAATATGATATTATATTTGTAAAAGTTGGATGTGTTGTAGATTCTGGGTCCTTTATCTATGAATCTTTATTTAAGAATCAGTTTGAAGTTGCTTGGATAATATTATAAATAATTGATTTACTTGTTTTCGAGAAAAACAAATTGGTTAAGAAATTTTTATTAGAAGTTTTTCATGAATCTATCTTTATTAACCGTTGATTAATTCAAGTAACATATCTATAAGACAATTATTAGCGGGGAAATAAAATCCACGGGTCCGTTACAAGATATTTTGAAGTGCCTTTTATTTGTTCTTGGTTCTAAAGCATATTTAGGATAGACCTTATAGATTGAATGCCTCGTTTCACGTTTTTCTGACATCAAATAAATTCAATATATTTACGTATGAAGAGGTTTATGTTTTTAAATAGTAATTACGCCCAGCAAGGATAAGTGGGTTTAAATATGCGGGAAATTAAGTACCATTTAATCAAAATGAGATCATTAATTTGGAGTACATGTGATAAACAGACACAGGTAAACAAATGCCAATTTTCCATACTATATTTCATATAACACTTCAGCCAATTTCTTTTACAACCTGAAAATTTGTGCTTTTATTATGAATAATTAAGGCCAGCAAAATTTTTGTGATATGCATACATGTGATCGATGTAAGTACCTATATATATAATTTAAAACATATTCTATTATCCAATACATTTTGCAACTTGTTGCCAGCCTGTCTAATACAATCATCACATATTAAATTGCTGGACTTATCTCTTCATCATACCACCAAACATCGTAAAGCCATTCGAGGGTAAAACCAATTTTACGCCTGATCTCTCAAAGGAAATACCTACTCATTTTTCAGTGGCGGATAATATATTTTTATATTTTCATTATTTATTGCTGATGTAACATAACAATTGCTAGCTATTCTGAGTATCGATAACCTTTGCAGTATGTGTATAAATATTTCTTGGGGGAATAAAAATGATAATATCTATTTGAAAGTGAGTCCCTTTTATTGTTCAATAATATTGTTATATATTTTGTTTATTGTCTTAATATCGTTTGTTTTAGTGCGCCTTATTTTGATGGCATACTTCTTTGCTATGTTCAAGTACGGTGTGTTCAAAAAAAGATTAGACTCCGCAAATGACGAGTTAGCATACGTAGATAATCCCGTGGAGTCCGGTTTATCCGGCCATTGGCTGCCACTCAGCATATTAAAGAGGATTATGGAGATGCGAGTGGAATCTCGGCCAGAATATACTAAAAACATAAAACTTAATTTCATTATAACTGAAAAGTATATTAAGCCGAGCACATATACTATGGAAAGAAGCAAAATGTCGACTTATAAAATCATATCAAGTGGTAAAACTGCAGCAACAACAAAAAATAATGAGGTAGCAACAACATCTGAGTCACACAAAAAATTGACAGGTGATAAAGACACCACTGAAACGACAATTGATACAACAACATCAGAAACAATTACAAATGCCAAATTAACTTCTTCAGTGATTATTGAAACTACACCATCTATAAAGCAAGGAGAAGTAGAAAATTCTACAATTATGAAAACAACACAAAAGTTGTCTTCGGAACTCACAGAAGTAGCGACTACGGAAATAAGTACCACATTAGATAAAACAGTGGCAGAAACAACAGTCAGTTTAACAAAAGAAACAACAGAAAGAGTTACTGATGAATCGACAACTGAAGTCAGTAAGGAACCTACAACAGAATCCACAACTGTATTGACAACTCCCAAAATAACAACTCATCGAGCTACAACTGTTGTTGAAACTGGAAATCCTTTTTACTGATTTTTATTATTTATTATCAAATAAGGCAAAAAATATTCGCTTACTAAATTACAAACACAAAAATGGGTTTTTCAGATAAGAGATACTTATCTCTCTTTGTGTTTTTTTAGCTTTTTACGATCGAGAAAAATCCATCACTTAGTTTTATTCGGACTATTTTGAAGTAAATGCTATGTTTTTTCTTTCTCATATAGAAACTATGATGTTACTTTTGACCTTTCTGTATATGATTTTCTTTTAAATAAGAAATATAAGTATTTTTTAAAGAAATTACGAAGGTTGCTTGTATGAAATAATTCTACTTCATGAATTCACAGATTGTAACTATATAAAGCACAGACAAAAAACCCTTTGGTATTTTTATTGTGATTATGAAGAGTAGGTTGTTATTTACAAATTATTCGTTTCTTATAAGGTCTGAATAAATAAAAACTGTTATAATGACATGTAAACTTGTCAAATATAATTGTTTACTCGCCTAACAATGAGAAATCAACAAGATATAAGCATATGTAAATTGTAATTTAACGATGTCTTGAATAGAAGTGGCAAGTTGAATTGCTAACCTGATTTTGCAATAGTTTCGCCTGTTTACATCGAGGAGTGCTGGAAATTGTTGAAGGGAGGAATACAGTTACAAACAGTATTGAGTCTTGTTATTGACCAATTAGTCGTGTAGGCGTCAAAGATATTGTCCAACATCCATTGGAGCTTGACATTCGATACTAGAAACAAACGTGTTTTGTGGTTTAAGTCTTGTTTGATAATCGGTTTACCAGCCTTTTAATAGTAAAATGAAAACGTTTTAATGGATATTATTTTTCGATTATCCTTACTTACATAAAAAGATTACAATCGGATATTTATACAAATTTACTGCAGTATAACTAACATGTTATACGAAAGTCGATATGTGTTTTACTGTAACATATTTTAATAATACAATATGAGTATGTGAGGCTGTAAGGAGCCAATAATAATTCATGTCTCAACAGTATCAAAAGCAAAGCCGCAACCTTAAGTGTAGAAGCTTTTAGTATATAGTGCGATCGTAGATTGTGAAACATCTGTTCTAGCTTATAATATTGGATTAATTATAATTTTCAATAAAAAATTAATGTTGACAGCTTTTGTGTTATCAGAGATCTAACATTAAACCAGTTCAAAGTCAATGATTAAAGTGATAATAAGTAAGAGATAAAAAGTATTGGTTTAAGTTACATCAAGCGAAATTATTTATAACTTTAATAACGAATTGATCAAGTATCTATCAAGAATTTGAGCAAAATTGAACGTGTTTTTCACGTATTAATATATTATTGGGTCAAAAATAGTTAATGGCAAAAATATTAAAGTGTTATTTAGAGGCATTTTTGTTTTACTTAAAGCATTGCAAAAAAAATTGTAACGAATACTCTACTAGTCTACTAAAACTAAAAAATGCAACCAAAATCCTAACCGGTGGATCTGTTTTTCTTTATTATATATATAAATTGCAAGTCAGACTTGCATTTACATACATTTACTAATCTATTGATCTGACTCGCTTCGTGATAGAGTTGAACGAGAAATACTCGCACGTATATTAAGTTTTCCAATAATGTCCTTTTCCCTAACAGGTATTTCTAAATTGTACCTAAAATTTATAATAAAAATTAAATAAACAGTTTTACAATAACAAAAAGATTATTTATTCATTTCGAATAAAAATGTACTGAATATCAGAATACAAATGCTAGACTCTTGTAAATTGAAAATGTTGCTGCAGTTGTCAAAAATATATTCTAAGCATGAGTTATTGTTCCTTAAAATTCTATTATTGTTTTTGTGAAAACAACTATTTTACACAACATTTTAAGTCATAAAATAACGATAAAAAACTTCATAGACAAATTGGATATTGATTTTCCTTTTTGTTCTCGTATATGACATTTATATAACAGAATGTGTAATGAAATGTGATTGTTTGAAAATTCATAATATTAATAAATAATTATTCTCAGGCAAATTATTTTTTTAATACTACCTAATAAGAGATTTTTAACTAATTAAAATATATTGTATGAAATACTAATTAGATATTTTATTTAAAAAAGCTTCATTCTGTAGGACTGTTTCGAGTTATATACTTGACTGTATGATCTCTTCGAATAATTTTGTACCATTTTAATATAATTATGTGTGTTTCATTTGTTCGTAAATATTTAACTCCAAATAAAATTTGTCTGAAGAGTATGCAGCTTTATACTATTTGAAGCAGTTGCAATATTTTACTAAAACTTAAGAAGACTTAATTTTTTTAAATGTTGAAATAAATATTTAATTTCAACAAGAATTTACTTTTTGTCAAAACATTAACTATTTACTGTATAATTATTGTTTTCATCTAATTTATTAATTGGAAAATTTTGTTTATTTGTTGGTCGATCAAAAGCGACAGTACTCGTCAGATTTTTTCCTTAAGTTTTTCTGAACGTCGACGTTTCATCTTTGACCCTCTTGTCCCCAGATTCTCGTGACATTTTATTTTAAGATGAGAATTTAAATAATAATTTTCCTAGAGATAGCACTTTTTCTGCTCGAGCATTATATGCTTAATTTGCGTGGATATTCATTTTTTTATATAAGTACATGATTATTTTTATTATATTAATTGAAATAATTATTATGTGATGTGAAACCTTGTTCTTTCATAAATGTAACTGTGGCATATATTCTGAAAACGATAGTTTACGCATTTGATTTAAAAAAAGTTTGTATTCCTTTAAAATACGAGACTGAATACTCACTGAGAGTGCTTCAGTAAATAAAATACAGTCATAATTATATTTGAATGTTAAAACTTTTCACGTTTCTAGAATGCTGGAGACCCTACCATCCACAATTATCACGCTGGAAATGATTGCATCATGATTTCCTTCAAAAGAGCGTCGAATGTCCGCTCTCTCATTCTGCCTGTTACCATACAACGCTATGTGACCGGAAAAATCCACCACCGCATTTCGTGCTTAAAGAGCATAACTTAGAGTCGAAGTTTGTATATTTTTTTATATCAGATTTGTTGCTTACTAGAACTGGTTGGACCGTCAGCGACATTGCGGCAATTTTAAAAAGATGTAGCAAAGTCTATATGGACGGGTGTTTCATGAAAATTTTATAGAACATGCTTTTGATGCGGTAGCTAGTTTAAACGAAATGCTGGGTCGAGTGAGAGCTATTGATGCCAGACGTGTGTGGGCTTTAAGGCAGACGTCTTATGGTATCTAGGGTACTGTGTCTTGGAGTCAGTAAAATGGGACGCGATATTAAGTAGTTTTACAATAAATAGCTTGTGAATGAAATTCAAAGTAACAACCTTTTGGATACTCGATATGTGTTGATCGATAATGTTTTTTACATTGATAACAAAATGTGAAAAAGCAGAAAGTTATAACTTTATGAACCTCTAAGTGAATTAGAGGTGATGGTAGATATTTTAGTTTCTAAACCAAAATAACACTTTCTTTATAAGTCTAAATGGACGTTTGTAAATAAAAGTCAAAACAATATATAAATGTTTATATAAGCTATTTTGTAAGCTCCCTTGTGCAGTCACGTATAAATCTTCTATTTTATGCTCTCTTTGCTGGAGTGGGCATGGTAAAATTCAATTTTCTCAGAGCAATAAGGAAGTCGGGATGGGTACCGAAGAATACTTTGAAAAAAAAAATTATTCCTAATGAAATAATATGTTTCACTTAGAAGTAATTTTTATTTGACTTTACGACGACGGAAACGTGTTGGAAAAGAATTATATTCTATTATGTAAGTGATGGTAATAGACGGCTTTTATTTAAAGGAACTCTATATAAGAAAAACATTTAACTTTCCTGGCGATCCGAGATCTTTTAAATTAATTTGTAATGTCAAGATATAAATTTAGATAATTATTAAGTAAATTAATGTTGGTAAAATGGTAGCGTACTGAAAGAGTAACAGATTAAGTCCAGCTTATGATAATTAAATAAGGAGATAATAGTTCTTAATTAGTTATTAGAGATACAATTAGCAAATATCCATTCATAGATAGATACGTAAATAAATAATTTGCTGCGTTTAATAAAGTTATGGCCGTAAATAAAAAGAATTCTGAGTAACTTGGTCGAAAAAGTTATCAAATAACAAAAGAGAGTAATTAACAAAAGCATGAAAAACCGCTTAGCAAAAGTGAGATAATTAATTAGCTTTTTGTAAGCGAGATAAAGCAAAGTGCTAACTTCACAAAACTGCACTGAGCCTAGAATACTTTGGACTAGGTAATTAAGCCAATTCGCACGCGGACAAGTAAATCGTGTGACAATTTCTCTATTAGAGGATTTTTATTCTTGTTGCTTTGTCAATAGAGTTTCTATTGGATGTGAATGATTTGTAGCTCTTTTAAGGTAATTTCCTATCTCATAGTGATGCATGGTACTAGGGTAAAATGTGGGTAACTTCTATCGTTTTTAACCGAGTTTTCCATTCGATTGCACGTCTGACTACGCTGTTTATGAACCGATTTCGCTTCTTTTGTTTATTCGACTAGTTTGTTATTATGTATGTATTTTTGTATGCTAGGTATTTTGTATTTGAAAATTAATGTCGGTTAAAGAATATTTTAAATTACTTTTCTAAAGATTTACAGGAAGACTCTCGTTTTAACAAACATATGAGTGTGACTCTATAACATACGTATATTTATAATTGTATAATTATTATAATATAATATACGCATGATTGATAAATTCTAAATATATTTTTTCAGCCCTTAACTTTGGTTGGAGTACTAAATCTTTTAACTAAGGTTCAAGACTTGGAGTAAGTTCTGACCTGTTGCTATTATATTTCTTTTAATATATTTTTCGCTAATTAATAATTTTTTTTTTTTTATTTTTTTTTTATGTGAAGCTTGGCAAACGAGCAGACGGCCCACTTGATGGAAGGTGGTTACCGTCGCCCATGGACATCCGGAACATCTTTGT